CCCCCCCCGCTTCCTTCACGTTGCTCTCGAAATAGCCGGACACCTGAACCAGGCTATCAATACACTCGCAAACTCTCTCTCTTAGCTTTTCTCCACCCCAGTTTCTGCATTCACCTTTGTTTTTGTGCCTCTTAACTTTGTCCTTGTGATTTAGTGCAGGTCGTGGAATGTTCATAAAAAGAGGCGGAAAGTGACATGTGTCGTAAAGTTGCAACTGATTAATTGGCTTCCAAATAGTACGTGGTCACAAAAAGCCGTTCGGTTGCGAACAGGTTCCCAACGAGCTCGAAAAAAATAATTCGGCGAGCGAAGCGAGCGGGGTTACTTTTACAAATCAATTATTACGTTTGGTTAATCTTCCATGTGGCTTTTCCTTATTCTAAACAATACGGTAGTACTGATGAACGCCAGTGGGAAGTCTCATTGCCAGTTTAGACTTCTGTACTTCGCGTGCAATTCACGGTGATCGAGCTAGAGAGTGGAACTACTGGAATTAAGCTTAAGTAAATTAGATTACCTCAAATACACAAAGGAAAAACACATATCTTCTTTGGTTTTGTGCGGATCAGAACTCTAAAGAAAGAGACACGAAAAGTAACGACGTTTACTGCTGGAGGGTATAGTCAACATGAGACAACTGATGGCGTCGATAAAATTTAAAATTAAAATTCAACATATATTTCATTTGCTGCATTATTTCACAGTTGTTGCTAGATTCATTCTTTTGGCGATCGGAGCAAAGCTCGATGTTTTTGAGATCGAGACGGACTCGAATTCTTGCTCACGAGAAATTCCCGTTGGCAGGGCCACCCATCCCGAGCTATGTATATTTCTTGATTACAGTCACAACTTCAATTGTTCTAGTGACAAACGTCCTCACCAAATACTTCCGTTGATATGATAATTCTAGGTTTTCCTTGACCAAATTTCCATCTGGAGGTTAGAGATCTATTTTCTTTGTCTGGCATTGCGGAAGCAGCTGCCGCACAAAACATTCCTCCCCGGAAGGGAAGCAAAACAACGCTGCTGAAACTTAATTAGTCACTTGTTCAGCCGGCCCTAAAAATAGTTTATTATTTACATGTTCGCCATTCTGCCAGAACAATTCGTCTGTACATATGGGTTTTCGATGGGCCTTAACCGACTGCTGAGAATATTGGACAAAATTTTAACAGTCGGCTGAGAAATAACGCGATTTTTTTAACAAACAGCTGAGATCTGGTCTGCAACATTTACTGTTAGCTGCGAAATGGGCTGCAACTGTAACTGATAGATGAGAAATCGCAAAAAATTAAACTGAAAACTGAGATTCCATCACACCCATCCACGCCCTCGACATTTGTAATGCAACTGGCCAATTTTCACACTTTTTTTTTTCTTTTGGGGAAATCTTATCATAAAAAGTATGCGAGTCGCACGAACACAAGAGCAGTAATCAACAAAAACTTGATGTGACTCAGTGTCAGCAACATGGCATCCTCATTCCAACATTTCCCATAACAGCGAATAATTTGTCCGAAAATCAAGTCATTATTTTGGGGTTTCCTGCTATCGACGCAGATTGATCGAGCTTATCGCCGAAAATAGATGTTACATCCTGAGAAAAAAAGAACGTTTTTCAGTTTTTCGATCACCTGTTGTTTCGTTTCGGCTGGGTACAGCCATCGAAAAGAAATCCTCCTCTTTCATGCTTTTTGCGAGGAGATGCAGAATGGTAACAAAGAGGAAATGCAACTTAGAAGCAATCAAGAGGTTCAGAAAAATACTCCAGATGCTGATTGTCGTCACAAATTGACCCGGGCACAAATTATGTAACTTGCTCGGCTAAACTAATAGTTCAGATATTGGGCGCCAGCTGAACAGTCCATCAGATATACTGCACCCGCGGTTACTCTCGACTAAAGTGATTCTAAAAAACTGATTTTTTTTCGGAGCAGTATAAGTCGATTGATTAGCTTACCTCGTTAAAAGGGATGGCTACATATGCAAATATTTTTCTTTTTTTTTTCTTCGACAAATTAGGTGTTTCCTAAAACACTGATCGGAAATTAAACCGAAACTAACTTGCGATTTGCTCATATTCTTAGAGATTTAGCACGTTTCAGAGAAGCTTAGGAACATGGCTACAATATAAGAAACACAATCGACCTTGGGACGTAGACCGGCTACAACGCACAGGAAGAGTACAGTATGGAAAACGTGTGTCTAAAAGACCCGTGTTCTTCTATGTAGTCTGACTTGCATTCCCTTTAGCTATTACTGAAATGTTGTTGCCAAAGCTCTCTCTCTCTCTCTTCTTTAATCTTCACTGGAGTTCAACTCTTAATGTCATAAATAAAAGCAAATTAGAACAGATGCCGGCGGATCTTTTGAGAAATTTGCTCCATGTGCAGTAGCGGTTCTTCCTATATTGCTAATAGCATTTTTGGAACGAGAACATTACGTTCTTCCGTAATCTAATATCGATTGTAAAACTGACGAACGTACAAAATCATAAATGTTCCCAGGTATATTCGATATTCAAAGTTGTCTATTTACTATTTCCGTCACTCGCTTCCGCCCTCGTGTCGCAAAACCGGAAAAGATAGTGCTGTCAAAAAATCCCAACCAGCCAATCAGAATTCAACACTGAGTCACATGTAAAAACAGAACCAAACCATGCGAACATCCTGTCGAGCGGAAGCGATATGCGCGATCACACTGCTACTCTAGGTACACCATGAGTAAGTTGTAAACATTTTCCTTCAGGAAACGGTCTTGAGGGCATGTCCTCGATAAAATTCCAGCGCAGTGGTGCAAGATTTCTCAATGATGCGTAGTTGTTCGGGGTGGTTTTGCCGCGCTGACCTTGTTTCGTCCGTGTTTTCACCTCAATCATCAAGACAGGAAACTTCACGTGAATTTCGTTCCATTCAATTCGCTACCTCATGGCTGCCGTAGACGATGAATCACTTTTGATGGAAGAGGAAAAACTGCAGCATAATTCAAGTACGGAACAATTGTTTAATTCAACATGGCTTCTTTGCGGTCTTCTCTATTATCCCACTTGGTTTGTACATCTGATTAATTTGTGAAAACGCTTGGTGCACGTGTGTTAAGTGAAGTTGTCGATTCTAGTCCACAGGCAGTTAAAAGTTCTAAAAGACAAGATTTCGGACTTGAGCAAAACAAACTATGAATTGGAAAGGGAGGTTCGCTTCTTCGATCAGCGTATTGGACTTCTTATTAACCACAAGAAGGCTGTGGAAGTAAGTTATCGCAATTAGACGTGTGTTTGTAATGGTATGGGTCTGTCACTGTCATTGAACGTTAGTCATCGATTGTACCGCACTTACTCGCGTTCTTTCGATTCTCTTCCGTAGGAATTGGCAGATTTTTCTATTGAAGGAGAGCGAACCTTGAAAGTCGGTAAGGCGATATTACATCTCTAATACACGTATGAATATTTTATTTTAATGGAATATTTTTAAATGATTGTTTTGCGAGCGGAATCGTGACTCCTCGTGAACATTTGAGTGGAGTCCTTGTCTGCCAGCAGTCAATCCAATACTAATCTTGCCTGTCGTGCCCTTTGCCATAAGCTGATCATCCGCGGCAGTCGTGAAGGATTTTAAATTCTAAGCTTATGTCGCACATCCTTTAACAATTTTATCCTTAATAGTAATTGCTTGAAGAATGCAGTGAATTTCCTTTGCGCGCCCTACGACATCATGAACGGCTGAAAACCTTTGTAAATCAATTTGCTATGTGACGTTTCTTTCATACTGCGTTGATTTATGCTCTTTTATTAACAACTATCTACCCGTTCGACTATTTTTTGTTGGAATTTACCATGCAGAAATTTGTATACTTTTTGTTTATTAGGAAATTTTCTGAAGGAGTTCTTCTGTTAAATAAACACCCAGGCAAGTCGGCAGGGGTGTAGAGATGTGACCTCTTCAGTATCATAACAAATTCCTAGGTAATAGTCGTGGGAACTTGAATCAAACAACTGCAATACTTGTAAGAATTATAGAACATTTACCAGGTTATGCATTTGATCCAATTTCTGATGTCTGCAACCCTTAAAATATTCCATGGGGTCACAGGACCTCTCTGCGTGAGGTGTGGTTATTACCCCTGTAGATTAGGGTAGCTTGGTTATAGACACTGCACAGGTGTGCAGCAGACTGGATAGGTTCTGCTTGGAGGATTTAAGTAAACTCCCATGGCCATCAAACCAGATTTTCTTTCCCACACAATTTTGCAGTGCTTGTGTTGACAGTCAAGCAAATTGCAAATTTGATTCATGTAGAGTACATTAGCCCTGTAGGGATCATGTAACTCAGTCTTATAAAACAGTGTGCTGAGAAATTTCAGTCAGTAGTTAGTTGTCTGTTTTGTATTTCAGTCTTTTTTCTCTTATGAAGTTGTTCCACCTCAAGAACACAACAATTCAAAACTGCTCGTTTTGACAAGTTCCAGTTTCAATTTGACAACATCCTGTTTACCTTTTTCATGTAGAAACTGAAGTAATATTGCTTCATTTGAGGAGAAGTAATAAGAGGAGGGAAGTAATTATCAACTAAAATTAGTAAATAACATGTTGAGTTGACTTCACTAAACTTGCAACTACGTGTATGCTTCAAAATTGAAAATGCAAACCACAACTTGCGGAGCAGTTTTGAATTTTAGAGGGAAAA